TAAGTCAACTCGAGCTAAGCTGATTATGTGAGTACGTTGATGGGAAGAACAAAGCTGGAGACTTGATATACATATATAATCCCATATATCCTATTTCTCAGTATATATGTATGTACATATATTGGCTCAGAGTATCCCTTAGTCGAGCTCGCCCGACTAGAGCACTTTTAGTTGTCTGATTTATTTTCATTTTGGTTTGGTAATAATAATACTTACCGATGTGTAATCTCTTGCTCCTCTAGAAAGCGCATGCCATTTGCAATCTGCAGCGCGAAATTGTGCAGCTCCTTGTTGTCAAGTATGTACTCAAATGATTCCTCATCGTCCACAATGGTATAAGTAGCTTTAACGAAAAGGAACATAGCACGGGAAAAGGAAAAATTAAATCGTTATAAGCTGGCGTGTTTCATGTGTCAACTTACTTTCAGCAAACGAGGGCTTCTGCAATCTGGCGCCGACACCATTCGATGTGGCATGCTGCGAGCTTGAGTTGTTCGTGGAGGCGGACGACTCCAATTCATTGCTCTGATTGGAGGCCTTCAATTCAATGTAATTAACACTCTGCGGTCGTGGTAAAGATGCACTTCTGGAGTTGGCCGTCAGCAGTCTGCCAGTCGGGTGGTTGGCATTCCGTGCCTTTGGCTCTCCCAATTCCTGACGCACCATACGCAAGTAACTCAGCTGAACAGAGACGAAAAATAGTTTCGTTTGCCTGGCCAACCGCACTGAGGCGCAATACATACCAGATTGCCCCGTCCCACATACTCCATGATCATCAGATAGGGTGCTCGAATAGTGCAACAGCCCAGAAAGCAGACCACATTGTGGTGCGTGCCGACGCCCTTCAGCATTTCAATTTCCGAGAGAAACTCGGCTACCTCATCCGCCGACGGATTGGCTAAATTCCATGCAACATTACAATTATGCATTAATTACATTTAATTAATTGGCATACCCTTCAGCTGTTTCACGGCGACAATCGTTGTGCCCCGCAGAAATTAATTTTCGGACTATTGTGTTGCATTTGATGGCATTTTTTCGGTCCAATTTAAAATAATAACGAACTTCAAGTTGGAGAACGGGTACGTTACGTACCCGCAGCAGGTAAGAAGTTATGATATTTTAATACCCCACTCATGGCTTTTAAGCGGCCAAATCTCTTAGAATTGTTCGGCTTAAGTGGTATAATTTACCACATTAAATTAATTAGGCCAATTATATTCATGAGAATTAATATACAAATATTTGCAGTAATTTATTCTGCCTTATTAATACTTATTTGCAACTGTTTTTATACTGTCAACAAATTTATGACTGGAAGTTGAGTTAAGCCTTTCATTTGTCCATATTAAATGAGAAGTATTTTTGTGCGAGAAGAGAAAATTTTATTTACCTCGACATATTTGTCCACGTAGTTGATGTTGTCCTCCATTCTGGTAAAATGAATAATCAGATGTTCAATGCGGCAAACAATAGCTGCAACTACTACTGCAGCCAAATAATTGGATTTTAACTCACGCGACGGGTGCTGCCGCAAAGGATTGCATGTAAATTTGATTCTTCTGCTGTTGCTCCTTGGCCCGGGCCCGGCGACGACGACGCAACAGGATTGTCAATAAGCCAGCTAATATGACGGCTATGAGTAATGTGGTCATGACAATGAGCGAATTATTCTGCAGTTGAATTTATTATATTAATATAGCCATATTAGAGGAGCTAAAGAAATATTCGTATACCCACCAAATTGACATTGTTGTTCAGCAACAGGGGACTGGCGGGAACTGGGTAAAACAATTAATGAGACTTGACATTCCCGAGTATTTTGCAAACATTCACTCAGCTCTTTGGCTTACCTGGCACTTTGGTAACGCTGCGCGGCCCCTCACAGCCGGTGGGGTCAATTATCATCGCCTGCAGATTGAGGGAGGACTTCTCCTTCAGTTGTGTGCCCAAGTTGAGCTTCATGTTGCCATCAAAGCCCTTGGCTGTGGGCCGAAAGTGCAATTCGCTGAGATTATAAATCCGACTGAATAGATTCTTCAGAACACCGCCCCAAGGCAGCGAGGGATTGCTCTCCTCGTTGATTCTGCAGCGAATGTGTAAAGTTTCTTAGAATTGGCCGCAACTAACGAAGCGAGAAGCAATTAGATAGTTGTACAATGCGCTTCATTAAGCAACGCTGCAGCGAAATTTCGTAACTGTGAAAAACCCACGTAACCTGGCTAACTTTATAAAATTTAGTCATGATTTTCTCAGCACCTAAATGTTGATACATATTTGGTAATACCTAACTTTCGTATATATCACCTATTCCCCATTTAGATATTCTGGCATGAAGCAATTTCCGATAAATATTTTAATCGATTTCTTAACTTAAAATTTGTTTTACCATTTGTCAGTCAATTTTCAAGTCCAAATAATTTTTTGTACTTTTATCCATCAAAGTAGAATTATTTTTCATATCGCAACAACTTTCAGGCTATTGATTTTCCTTCTAGACTTCTTATTCCCTTGAAGGGGGTATTATAATATTGTCATAAAAAAATCAGAGTATTGATATCGATATTTCAAAGATTCGATAATTTTTTAAGTCCGAAGTCAAAAGAACCGGCTTGTACGCGAATTTTCCTTTTTTTTTTGCCTTGAGCCGAACTTTGTCCTAAAGAAAGGTAAACCAAATTCTGAAGCAAACCACTTTTTTCTTCAAAAATGGTTTGCGTGAAATACAATTTTTTTGAGCAACAAAAAAAGTTGATGATTCCAACCCAAAGGCAGGAACTGTGAATTGAACTTATGAAAATTTCTTCATTTTTTTTGCTCAAAAATCAGAGTAACTGAAATCCTGAGCAGAAACCATATTTTTCTTTGAAAATGGTTACAAATTTTTGTGGGATAAAAACAAGTTCAAGAACCGAAACGAACCTAAAGGCAGGTGAAGCGAACCGCCGCAAATTTTCGGGCTTACAGCCCAGCTAAATATGTCATATGTAGGTTGTATGTCTGCAATGCGGTTTCTTTTTATTGAGAATCCGGCAAATAGCTTTACTTGCTTGCAGGCTTTCTTGACATTCGATACATGCGACAATAGGCAATAGGGTATTCAAAGGAAACTTACTTTAATTGCATTCTGTATGACTGGAGGGCCTTATGCAGATGATGCTCCTGCTCCTTGCGCAGCTGCTCGCTGGCTAGTATGGTGAAGCTGATGCCAATGGTATCGTTCGCCTGCATCTTGGCCACGGCCAGCACTTTGGGCGGTGTCGGTGATAGCTGACAGGAGCACTTGCCGGCAACACAATCTGCAAGCGAAACGAAGAGTATAAACCGACAAATTTCATCAGAGGTGAGCCAAGGCCACCGCCACCTACGTGGAACGAAAACGCGCATAGAGCGACGCACGAGGAGATTTGACGTTTCCACGGTAACATTGTATTGACAGCCAAACATGTAGTTGCAGTCGGCTGACTCGACATTCGGATTGGGACTCTGCGGCAGATATATGTGCTTGCTGGGCTTCTGTTTGATGGTGTACTCGCTGCAGGGCGCATCCGGGCAGCGAGTGCTATTCACAGCGCTCACCAGCACATTGTATGTGGTGCCTGTAGGGATGCCAAAGCTCTTATTATCCGTCTTCCTGGTTATAAACACTGCTACTCACCGTTGGGCAGGTTGTCCTCCCAGTGCACCTGCAGGCGAGGTATTTTCTGCATGAACAACGTAACATTTGCTGTCAGCTCCGTGATCTCGCCTTTAGATGGACTTAACTGCATTTCGCAAATGATTAGTAAAAAAATATATATATGTATGTATTTGTTTACAGAGCTTAAAACGATTGCTGCAGGATAACTTTCACTCTTACATCCCCCACATTATTGTTTTAATTGGAATGCTTTCCTAGTAGCTTATCTACAGCTCTTTTGCACCACAATCAGCATTCCTTCAATTTTAAATGAAAGTTGCAATCTTTACCAGGGGGGACCATTTTTAAATATTGGCGCACCATAAATTAATTATAATTGATAAGCATGTATTTGACAGGAGAAAAATTCCATCTTCGGCTTAAAATCATTTTATGTGAAAGCTTTCTTTCCGACCAATTATTTCTTAATATTGAGAGTCTTTTGATATGGTACACCGAGTTGATATGGTTTCTGCAGATATGTTAGACGAAAAGCTTGCAATTCCTGACTTTGATCAAGATATTAGAATAGTTTTTTCAGTTAGCTGTGGTACAGTATATATTGATTATTAATTATATATATATTTTTATATGGAAACATCTCTGTTTGTCCAGGCTCAGCAATTTCAAGTTTCTTCTAACATATCTGCAGACCGTATCAATGCGAACTACTATTATCATATCATTTGGATTTTATAAGAATTATCGGTGGGAAATGCGGCCAAGGAAGGAAAATTGTTATTTCCTCTAAAATATCTGAGAAGTACTTACATTTAATTTGTTCCTGTTCACTTCAACTGCGGAGCCCAACTCTGTTTTATTGTTACTTGTTTTACTGTTGTTGTCAAAGTTGTTGTAGTTGTTGTTGGCATTGAGTAAAATTGTTTGCATAGTTGGGCCTTGAAGTTGAAGCCCGGGTATTGCCTGGTCTGCGTTGGTAGTCAATGGGGTTGGCATTGCAGTTGTTGATAAGGCGGCGCTTGCATTCCTGCTCGCCACCATTTCAGCCACATGGCTGGGCAGCAATAGAAGCGCGGCGTATGATATGAGAAAATTAAAGAATTTTAGCCGCAGCATTCTTGAAATTTGCTCTGCTCATAGTTAAAATTGGGAAAACGACACATGCTGCAATTACCAAATGGAAAGCGCATAGTTAGAATAACTTAAATTTTCCACCAAATATATAATTAAAAACGTTAACCTAAAATATATTTAAATAATTCTATTCATAAATATTTTAAAATATTGTCGCAGCTGTTTCATAGGATAATTAATTGGGCAGAAAAAAAAATAAATTAATCTATAAATTCTCTCTCTCACTTGTGGGTGAGGTCCTTTGAGGAGTTAAATTGCATCAATTAATTAACCGACTTTCCGTGGCTTTTGCATAAATGAAAGACAAACTACACTGTTTGTAAAAATAATAATACCACAAGTCTCTCGAGTTACAATCACAATACATTTTCTTTGACATTTCAATTAAAATGTTTGTCTTTTTTTTATGTTTTGACCAAATAAAACAATTAATTTAATATATTAGAAGAGCCGTGCAAAAATGCGTGCAATTCGATATGTTTGAATTTAAAATGAAAATGATATATTCTTAAATCAACAGAAACGGAGACAAACAATAAAAAACTAATTAGCTGCATTTCATTAAGAGCGCCAACTCAGACGAAATCAGCATAGCGCGTGTTTCGCATACGCCTCGTTGCCGTGTCCTGGCCATTTCTCATTTCCCATTACCCACGGGCAGCGCGAACGTTATTCAGGTTGACGGAATTTTACAAAAAAAGGACATTTAACAAATTAGCACTATTCAATGCCAGTTAATACCCTGTGAGCAAATGGGCTTAAATTGGGTATAGCCAATTGCAGAAAGAAACCCAAACTTTTATAAGATATTTCTTTAATAATATTTATCGATAGACTTTTCGACAGCTTCGATCAGAAGTGATAACGATGCTTAATGATATTCTGGACGCAAATCTAACGTGAATAAGGTGTTTCTTAAGGGATTAAGGGATTTTCAATTAATAATATTTTAAAAAAAAAAAAGGAAAATTGGAAAGTAAGATTTTCTTTTTATAAATAAGTATTAAATATTATATTTAAATATTAAATACATTTTTGTTTTTCAAAATGTTGTATTAAATGAGTTAGTTGTAAGCTGAGAACCAATCAAAACAGATGCGTGTATTTCGTGTAGAAGGAAGCTAAGCTTGAATGCTTGTAACCTTAACGATGGGCTTAGGGCATCTCCTAATTGAGCACACCCGACTAGAGCATGCTTTGTATGTTTTCTTTCGTTTTTTGCATGGCAATCAGCGAACAGTTTGTGCAACACTGCTGTCAAAGTCAAAACGCGAGGTAAAAAACAATAGTCAGTCAGCACTTAGATTTAATTGTTGGCAAAGCAAACTAAAACACGCGACAACAACAACTTAAACAAAAGCTAATACAATTAACTGCTTTTGCATTTGTGAGCTGTCTCTTGTGTACAGGTGTGCAGGTGTGTGTGTGTGTGTGTGTGTGTGTGTGTGTATGTGTGTGTTGTCGCCTGTTATCTAGCAGACAAAAGGCGCAATGCCTTTTGACAATTTTGCTTAAACGAATCAACCGCACAGCTTACGGCTTGCGGGGCTTTGGGGTACCAGAGAGGGCCACATGGCGTATGATTATTTAACAAGCTGATTATGTTTTGAGCGATCGCTATCATTAAAGCTACACGAGGTCGCGGTTCGACTTTAATCGAACACCATTTATTAAGATAGCAATAAAAGAATAAAAACAATATTTTTGTATATTTCCATAAGGTCGAACAAGGTTATTTGCAATAACTATATAGATGATAGCATTACGATGCAAATTGAGACCTAAAAAGGAAGAAATGGAATCGTAATTAACTTCACCTTTATGTCCAATTAAAGAATCTTTTGATAAATAATAACGTTAATAACGTGAAAAAAATAACGTTAAGACCAATATTGTGCTCAACTACATAACAAAAATGGCAAACAGAAAAACAATTTAATTTAGCTTGAAAACTAAGCGTATTTAAGTACCTTAAAATTCAAAGTATGGGAATAATAAGTTTTGTGTGTATTATTTATTTCTATACATACTTATATATCTATATATATATATATAAATGATTCTTTTGCAAGACTTTTTTCAATATATATTTCTAAACATTTCTTGTGATTTATTTTTTTATTATTATATTATTTTATATCTTTGATTCAATTTTCAACGCATTAGGAGCACTTAGAATGGCACAAAAGATTTGGGTACCATCTGTTAGTAGTGCCCATATACTATGCTATAGAATAGAATGATCATAACAGTAAAACGTAGTATGGTTATCGGGAATCGTAATCACAATGATTAAGCAGTTGTGTGAGAGCTCTAAAGAATAATATATGTTTTTGGCTTTCATAATTCCTCAAGTCATTGCGATAACAATAGAAAAAATATATGCCCATTGAATTTGCATTATGCAATTTCACCACAGTTCCATTTCGCATTTTCACACTCTTCTCTCTTTTACTGTTCTTTTCACTGTTTACATTTGACATTTGAGTTTTTCATGACGCCATTTGCAACGCGCATTTCTAAACAAAACATTAAGTGTTTCCCATCCGCATGTGTGTATGCGTGTGTTCCATGTGTGTGCGTGTGTGTGTACTGTTGTGTGTTTGGCGCCACATCACACACACACACACACACACACACACCTCTGTCGCACTGTCAACGCTTGGCACTTGCTAAACGCTGGGACGTCGTTTTAGTCGGGCAGGATTAATGCGCGTATTTATATATAATAATGCTAACAAAGCTAATTGTTGACACGACATTAACAGCAGCGAGGGTGGTGCTACGGAAGGGAGGAAGGGGGGGGGGGGAGGTGGGGGTTGGGTGGTTTGAGCCTGGCAGTAAGCAACAGCAGTAGCCAGGTCATAAATTAAACGATGTCACAACGTTTTTATGGCTTGCTTGCCGTTCGTTTGTTTTGGTTTAACGCTCATCGGTGAGCCGAGTGCCACCCGCCCACCCTCCACCCCCAGCCACCCCCAGCCAGCACCTGCCCTTCTCAGCAACAGCTAGAGCTTGGCCATAAATTTGCACTGTTTTATGTAGTAGTAAAAATGTTAGTCTCTTGATTGTGAGCAGCAGCTGTCTAATTAATACAGACTGCAAAAAATATTATCATTATTGAATTAATAATTTTATCACTTTCGTCACCAGCGTGATTCATTTTTATATATTATTATTTATATATTATTGTGATCAATTTGGTCATTTGGTATTTTGTAGTCAGAGCAGCTGCCAGATTATTAAAATCTGTCTAAAAAGAATAATTCAGTTGATTAATTTCATATGTTGCTTACTTTCGGAAACACACTTTGGCTTTAAATAAATTGAAGCAAGCATTAAATTTTAATTTATTTGTGGAATAATTGTCGAATTACAATTGATCTTGTATAATTTGCTGTAACTTTCGTCACAAGTGTAAATCAGTTTTTTGCTTAAATTATAATCAATTTGGCACTTTTCGTTTGTGCTTAAATACCTGAAATTTTTTTTCTATTTTATTTCAATATCATCTAAAAAAAAACAAGTTGACATAATTTTTTTTAAAAACTACATTTTATTACAACCTTTCTTCGGATTAGTGTCAGACTTAATGATATGATATGGGTACAAATGATTTGATGAAAAATGTAGCACTTAATACTGAGTTGTTAGTGTTAATATGTTTGGTTTAATCATACATGGACCTGCCCTTAGTCTCCTCCACAAAGACGACCACATAGAAGACGCACAAGGCGCTAACCGCTGCACAGCCCCACATTGTGGCGGCCAGTCCCAGGTACTCCATCATCAGCGGGAAACTCTTCAGCGATGTGAACGCAAAGAAGCTGAGGCAGCCCAGGCAGGCGCTTGTGGCCACCGAACGTATCTTCTGGGGCAGCGTCTCCACCAGCACCACCATTGTAACTGAGATGATGCCCACATTTGCCACAAATATAATAATGGCCATAATTGTGACGGGCAGCCAGGCGGAAAATGCGCTTAGATCCGTATTCGTTTCCTCCGCATAGAAAGCATAAACGCCAAATGCAGTCGTGCCCAGGGCGCTGCCCACACAGGAAACCACAAGCAGTATCTTTCGCCCATAACGATCCACCAGATAGATGGATGCCAGCGTGCCAACAATTTGCACGGCGCCAATGATAATGGTGTTCGTGTTGGGCTCCAGCTGGGTGTGCACGCGCTCAAAGATATTGGACATGTAGTTAATAAAGGCGAAGGTGCCCGTAAATATGTTGCCTATCATCAGCATGAGTCCAGTCGTTATGGCCTTTAAAGCTCGTTTGTTGCCTGCCCCAAAATTGATTGGGAATTTTGAAAAGAGAAACCAAAAGCCAAGAACACAATTAACCGATAGAAACGACTGTATTCGGCACGCCGAACATTAAATACCCTTATATAAATACACCTATAAGATTTATATCTGACCGATTGTTTCTAAAGGAACCATATGATATAGTCGATCGATTTGATCTGGTTTTGATATGTTATAGCTTGTAATTGCTGGTCAAGATATCTTAAAAAAATCGGAATAATTTCCCAGACAAAAACACATTTTTCGGCCGATTCTTCCTATAACTCGATATGATATAGTATTCGGATGTTGACGAGAAGAAGAGTATCTAGTGGGTTCAAACTAAATCGGAAAACAAATCAGATTGTAAAACAAGAACTTAATTTTCTACCCATCGTTCTCGTGGCAATAGTTTATTCTACCATCAGACCGATTCAGACATAATAACCTGTAAGGGAAAGAACCTTTGCAAATTTCCATGACGTGACTCGGTGCGTGACAAAGTTCTAACACCTTCCGAAAAGAGCATAAAAAACCGTTGCTGCAGTTTTTGGGGTAGGGGCACTTACAGAAGTCCGCTATGCTCAGGCCCTCGTTGTGCTCGTCCTTCGTCTGCTGCTGTATGGCCTGGCGCATTTCGTCGAACTGCTTCTGATAGGCACGTTCGGACTCCTTGCTGGGCGCCGGGCCATCGCAATTGCAATAAAATTTCAATGAACGCTGCGCGTCCTCTTCCCGTCCCCAGCGCAGCAGCTGTTGCGGTGTTTCAGGGAATCGTGTGGCTAGCGCCAGATAGCAGAGCGGCAGGACCACCACCACGCAGGGTATCACATGGTAGGGCACATAGGAGGATATTATGAAGCCCAGCAATATGCCCGTATTGACGGCCAGGGTGAAGAAGGAGCACAGCCGACCACGTATGCTGCAAATGGATTGTTACACAAAGTTTTAATTGTCAAAGTCCACATTCGCATATCCACAACTCACCTGTTGTCGGCAATTTCGCCTATGAAAATGGGCAGGACCACAAACATGCCGCCGCCCGTTAAGCCCGCACAGACTCTGGCCACATAAAGCCATTCAATGGATTCGGCGAAATAGAACAGAAACCAAATGCACTGCGGGAATAACGTTTGATTTTTTAATTGCTATTGATGCTATTTCCTGCCCCATTTCATAAACTAACCGTGTTCGGCAGCGCCATGCCATAGAGCGCCACTTTGCGTCCAAAGCGATTCATGATGAAGGAGAAAAAGAAATTGCCTGTGACACCGCCCAAACTGATCACTGCACCCAGCCAGGAGGCTTCATTAACATCAATCACAAAATCGAGAGGCGTCTCCAACTCTGACTGCAGCTTGGGCAGCATCGGCGACAGCCAGCCCAGTCCGATGCCATGGCAGAGCGTAATAAGTATAGCTACGGGCACACAAAGCCTTTGAAATGTAATTGATTTACGTACGCAGTCCCACCGCAAGGCAATCTTTACTCTGCTTACTTTGTTTCTTTAAGATAATTTCTAGATTGTAGATTGTAGAATTGAAGGTGACCCCGTAATAGAAAGTCCAGCTGAGTGCTATACATAGAGCAGCATATGAAAGTCTGAATTCTTAAAAAGGTTATTAAAATGAAGCTAAAGGAGGCATCAAAGACACCATAGGTATATAGTATATATATTCTTGATCAGACATCAAGACAAGCCAACTCTCTGTTCTTCTGCGTGAATGCGGCAATATTGCCTAAGTCTTTTAATTTAATATATTAACTCACCATGCGCAGGACAAGTTTACTAACTGCTTGAATTCTCCTACCATTTTTATAATATCGATAAATATCGATTTTGAGAAATGGTTATTTTTAAGCATAACTCGAAGATAATTTAAGCTAGTTACTGGAAAATGTTGTATGTAAGCAAGAATATTTTAAATTCCCCCTCATTTCCTCAAAGTTAAAAAGAAACTTATTTATGGATAACTCCCCACATTTCACATCAAATTTGGAAAGAACTTTTCTTTTTAAATGCAGAGATTTCCGTTTTTGTCCTTGACAATTTCACATTTCCGATTAGCGCACTCGAACTGATTGTTTTTTTATAGATTTTATTCAACAATCTTTGCAATATTTCGTTATCTTTAGTTTCTAGGAATTATTTTATTGAACTACTTGAAAAACCATCACTAAATAAGAAAATAATAAATATACGCTATATAGTTACTCTCAGGCATAAAATATTTCCCAAATCACTCTTCTACTTTTTTACCATTCTTAACTTATACGGAAGCTTAGATGTGAGACCCTAAGGCATATCGTATGCTCTAAAAAATTAATTTAAAAAAATATAACATTAAAGAATCCTGCGATGGCATTTAAAGACCGCTCTCCCTCTCCGTCTCTCTTTCTCTGTGTCTCCCTCTATATAAAGGCTAACCACTTTTATATCTTTTCCGCCGTAATCATGCCAACATCCCAACAATCTCAGCAAACAAAAAACATACCACTCAATGTGACCAGCAGCTGGCGACGAAACTTCTTCTCAAATATGCCCGAGTTCGAACATGTTAAGAAACATCTTGTATATTTTTTACTCTTATTTTTTACTATTATACTAAAACGTTGTCAACTCTAATTATAGTACTTTGATTTGGATATCACAGTCTTAGTTGCAGAGTCTTGAACTGTCCTTTTTAATGCTCATTAAAACTTTTTCTTGAGAATTTATTGCTCAGATATGGTGTTTCCATGCTATTCACTTGAGTTGCTGACACCAATTAAACGAGTTAAGATCGCGTCCGAGTCGTTGTCTAAAATAACTTGTGAAATTAGCATCGTGGCCCTATTTATACACACAGCGCAAGCTGTAATATCTCCAGACGTATCTAAATCTTTGTCCAAATACGAAATTCGGCTAGAACCGTGGCATGTACCTGGCTTGTGATACCTGGCTGGCGGTCGGCTAAGGTGGGTGTTGCGACGCTTAAAGCTTCCGCAGCTTTCGCAGTCTCCCAATCTTTATGGACGGGTAAATCATTCGAGACGTAACGCGTTTATCTCAAGTTCGCAAGACACTCACCGGAACTGACACCGTTCCAACGAAATCTTTCGAAATAGTTTCTACTTATTTGCCCATGACGTTGGCCTGCGCTGACAGTCTGAAAGTTTCTTGACCTAGCCAAACTTATGAATGATATCTAACGGGAAAGCATTTACGTAAAAGCAAGTAACTGCTACGCAAAAACTAAGTGAGTGCAAATACAATCAAAACCCTGCTCATAAAGTGGGAAACAGTTTCAAAATGCAATAGCTTTTTATTAATTTGGTGCAAAATATTCAAAAGAAACTGATTCTCTGCCTGTCACATTCTAAATTATGTCAGACAACGTTCGTTCCAACTGATATTGTGAAAGTCTCAAGTACCACAAAGACATACTTAACAAATAAAATAACGCAAAAGTCGTGCTAATAAGTCAATCGATGTGCAACTAGCTAATATCCTATATAATCCTACCTCTATACTTACATAGTTATACCCATATATAGTATCAAAAATCAATTTGAGGGAAATGCCGAGGAAGGGAAACATTCAAATTTCGACTTGATCTGTGGTTTGCTGCATATAAGAACCATGTAAATCATAGTTGATCCTCAAAAATGTCGAGTAAGATATCGATATTTATCGATTAAAAATTGGTTTGGAGCCAACTTTTTAATCATATAAATCATGGTTGAGCCCAAAAATGTCGGGTAAGATATCGATATTAATCAATAACTATCAATTTAGGAGTCCCCTGCATAATCTCCGTCATAAACTTAGAAAATTTGAGTTGGAAATCGATATTAATCGGCTTCTCAACACTGTTTAATTCTAAATTATGCATTTGAAGTCCGCAAAGCAAAGTCTCGAAAGATAAACAAACATAAATAACTCAACTCGAGACTTGAAATAAATTTTATAAAAAATTGTCTTGGGCTTGCAAATGTTATCTTCTGCTTGTAACATTTAGCTGACAGCTGACTTTTACCCTTCTTACTTTATATTTTACGGGCTTCAATACCTTTCGACTGAATGTTTCTTTGTCAACAATATTAAGTTACAACTGAGGTACAGGCAGGCCAAATGAAATGGAAAAGTCGTATTTACTTATAAAATTGAACTAAAAGAAAAACCCGTCAAGCACACAAATTTTCATCATTTTTCGATTTTGGTGTGCATGCCACAATTTAAAGCCCGAGTTTGCCACAAAAGGTTAAAGAACGTTGCAATATGCTCGAGTAAGCATACTCTAGTGGGATGCGCCCGACTAGGAGATGCCCTCTTCACCCAGCACCAAGCTTTCCTAATGTGTCAATGTAGCCAGTCATTAGCATCAAGAGCAAATATATACTTTTTGTCTGAATCATTCATTTGTCCCTGCCCGATATACCCTGTTTACCCACTTTCAGTGGGTGCGGCTTTTTATTTCGCTTACAAGTATTAAAAAGCCATTTGTAGTAGCTTTAAATGGTTTCGTGTCTGGGGTCTGCGATAAACAACATCTGTATATATTTATATATATTTGTTGCGAGCTTTGTGAGTGGCAGCTCTTGAGCCAACTATGGATGGGACTCACGGATAGAATTCAAATATAAATATAATATATATGTATATATAATAAATGCCGTTTGTGATAATATTCACAGCCAGACATACAGTTTGATATTTTATACCCTTTTTAAATAGACATCTTATATTTGTAAAGCAGCATGCTTTAAACTTTCTAATCTATTTTATATCTTTGATATATGTGTAGATTATTGATTGTGGAGATTATATATATTATGCTCTATACAATATTCAATAAACCGTACAGAAATAATAATTATAAAATAGCCTTATTTAGCTGGCTTAAGGTCCATAGTTATATAATAATTATAAAATTATATATTTAAACATATTACAAAATCCTAATATATCATTCCCCACAGTCTATCGATATGGTGGATACTATATCTAAATATGTATATGTAAGTATTTAGAATTGTATAGTTGTCTAATGCATATTATTTTTTATTATTATTGGCTATAACCGTAATAATTCCGTAGCATTTGGGAACAGGGAACAAGGACACTTGAAGAGTTGAATGAATCTTCATATTCAACTGTCAAGCTTTTTTTTTAAATTTTTTATAACTCCCCCATTTTATTTAATAACAATATGAAACCTGTTTCCCAATTTCCGAGGTTAGGCATATTATTGTAATGACAACTGAATACAAACCAAACCAATTTGCATTTTTATTAAATTAAAGTTAATAAGAGTGTTTGGTAGTTCGTCTTGCCAGAGTTAGATTTTTAGGCTTGTTCGCTCCATGCTCAATACAAGAACAGAACAGGGAACAAATGAATCGACTTTAAAACTGTTATCGCCCTTAACAGTTCAATGTCGCCCATTTTATGATATGTACAGAATTCTGTTTAGTGATAAGTTTCATATATTTTGTGTGAATTTTTTTTATATTTTTTGTATTTGTTTTTTTTTTTTTGTTTTGTTACGTTTAATCGTTATCGTGCGCGCGTATTCGATGCTTTGATAAGTTCAATTTGTATTCTATTTTATGCCAACTTGAACAAATTTATTGTTGATATTGTGTTTGTTGTTTTTTCGCTTTTGGTTTTTTCACTGGTTAAACTAGAAATAAACAACATAAAAAAAAAAAAATACAATGGCCAAATGTGGGCGCTGCACACAGATGTGCACAAATTTGTGGCGTGTTGTGGCTTCAATTGGTATTATTTCGGCTACGCACTAGACCGCTTACGTCTTTTCCATTTGGCCATATCGAACCATCGGCCACCAGCACTGGGCTGACTGGCAAATTGTTGGCTCTGCGTGGTGTGAGGTGGGCGGTGGGCGGTGGGCGGTTTGAGGTGTGGGGTGGGTTTGTCACGCGACTATGAATTAACCTGTTGAACACACCGACACGCTGCGGCCGGCGATAAGACCTGGTGCCTAACAAGTATTAAGAGGCCAATAATTTGGCGCTGTTTCGCCTGGTTTTGGACTATCGAACTTCAAACTTTCGACTCGTCCGGGAAGCACATTTATAAACGCATTACTCAAATGTGCAGCGGGCAAAAAACGAGGGAAAAACAAATGTTTATCGGAGCACATGGTGTTGAGTGCATAAAAATCATTTTACGATTTCTTTTTGTTGTCGGCAATTTCTATTACAAATTGTAGTAGATTATTTTTAAGAAATTTGATTTATTTATGCAATTATGGCCAAGCTTTACCGTTTGACTTATAAATTCAATAAAAATTAACAATTTTAATTGGATTTGTTTCTGCGTAAACGTAATATAAATACTTGATCCAATTGAGGGGATATTTGCATATTGCTTGTAAAATTGATTTACTGAATAACTGAACCAAAATGTAAATGGATATTGTAATATTTTTTGCTTTATTTAAAATGTTAACAGCTCGCAAACTCTACCTGTGGCAAACTACGAGCAGACAGTGCTTATGCGTTATATATTTTATTTATTGTTCTTTTAAAATTGAAAAATGTGCATGCAGTAAATGCTGCCTTATGCTCAAAATTATTTTTAAATGTTTGATATTTTTTTAGTTTTTAATATGCCATTTTCATGTGCTAAACAATTCGGAAAAACTCTGAATTACCTTATTTCAAAGTTGCCTAAATTAATGTGTGCGTAGTTTTATCTGTGTGATTGACGCATCTGCTTTTATGTGTGTGTGCGTGTGTGTGTGTGTGTGTGTGTGTGTGTGTGTGTGTGTGTGTGTGTGTGTGTGTGTGTGTGTGTGTGTGTGTGTGTGTGTATTATATCTACGGCCTTACAAATCGTTGCTGCCTTTTAAATCGGCGAATGTCAAAAGCAGATAAAACAATGTTATTGCAATCAAATGTTCAGCATTGCCCGTATAATATATAATGCCAATTCCATCTAAACAAAAACAGAATAAAAAAAGATGTATCTGTGCGATTTGCAAGCGTGAACGCATTTTTAGTGAGAAATTCCTGGAGTTGCCCGTTAAAATAAATTGACTCAATATTATTGTATTCTGAAATTGCATTTCAGTTGTTTGTTATCAATCCTTTATATGCTCAGCTGAACGCTATTTATTTTCATTTTCAATGAATAACATCCAAAGCAACCGGTAAGTCCCCTTCATGTGCAAAATATTGCAACCAAAATTTTAGTTACTCAAAAGATTAACAGAGATTATTTCAAAGGTCTTGTTACTTATTATTTAATGTATATTGCAATTAATTAAATTTCCATTAGTGTTCGTTATTGCGAATTGCAATAAATTCCGATTCTTGGGAAATATTTATATATATATACATTACATTACATATTACATACATTACATTTATTAGGTAAGTTCGACTCTTAGAAGCAACGTTTACGAATAAGAGATCGTAAAGAATTGATAGAATAAATGCTCTCTCGAGAAAGTAAAGTCGAGAGAGCCGAATGCGTGTATCCTGTGTTCATTCATAGAAAACGTACGCTTCTGCGTTTTTGCACATTTTGTTTTGTTCTGTTGTATTTATATACTCATTTTTATTTTGTTTAACAATTTGTTTATATTGCATGGGCACATAT